TCTATCTATCTATCTATCTATCTATCTATCTATCTATCTATCTATCTATCTAATCTATCTATCTATTCCAGAACTGGAATGTTGGCCAGAGATGTGGAATGTGAGAGGATTCACCAGTGACAGATTGGGGAGCAGAACAGGTAGATTGACTGAAATACACTGTTGAGGGGAGCAGAGGGCAAGATAGGAGAGGTCTGCTGTGGCCTATGGGTCACCTCCCAGGATTGAACACAGGCCTCCACTGGGCATCACTGAGGTGGTAGGGCTGAGATTTAGCCCTAGGCCACCATGGAGGCCCTTGCATAGAACTCTTAGGGTCTCAAGCGGTGTAACCTTCCAGGTTATTACAAAAGTGAATTTTTTTCAAGAAGATCAATCATTTTATTCAGTGGTTTATTGGTGATGACTTCAAAAACGGTTAGATATGGTGCATATGGACATCCATGGACACTCCTGTTCTGAGCCCTGGCAGAGGAAGAGGTGAGTTTGGTGGTCAAATATGAGCTCTCAGCTCTGGAGTCTGCAGTTCTCCTTCAAACAGGAGAATGACTCAATCATGGCTGTCAGTTTGCACCTCATTTTGAAATGTTTCAGCCTGTGAATGTGTTCAAATGAACAAATGATTTTAACTGGTGACCGACTTGGAATGAATTCAGAGCATTGTTTAAAAAAAAAATGTTCTTTATCTTGGCACACTGTTTGCACTCAATATATTTTAAAACATAATAATAATATTTGATAATAATTATAATTTTCTCATTATTCTGAGAAGGGCAGCCGCTATCCTGGAGATAGCTGCTGCTGCCAAGAGCTTTTGGAAAAATACAATGCTTTCTGATTGTTCGAGGATAATTCCACCTTTGAGGCAGTCTCAGGCGCAGAACGCCTTTCCCTCTGTGCTGGGCCACCTCGAAAAGCCCAGAAGTCACTCTTTCCTGGGGTCGGGCGTTGGCTGATGAAGTCTTAGCCTCTTCTCACCTAGCAGGTCAGGAAAGCACACATCCTAGGGGAATTATTATCATCCGACTGGACTTTTTATTCTGCTGTGGTTTTGACTGCGACCTAAAAATAGTAAGCTCAGTGTCAATGGCTAATTATATAAGGGAAATCCTCAATTCTGATAATCAATTCTGAGCTTGGATGTTGGAAACGAAATTGCGTGGATTTCCGATGTATTACCCCCCCCCCCATTATACTGTCTCTGTTCTTAGATTCTTTAGCAGCCAGTGCGGGTAAGGCAAAGTTGTCCAGACAGCTCCTGATGAGTTGTGGGTGTGGGAGATAAAAGCAGAAAATGAGGGAGATATTAGCTGACTCTCCACCTCACAGCTAATTGTTTCAGCTTCCTCCCTCCTTATATTCCATCCCCCCTTTCTTTTAACCAATACTGCTTATATAACACAAAGTTAGGCTGGACTTTTTTTTTTCTTTCTCCCTCTGATAGTGATGGTAACAGAAGCTAAACAGGTCTTAGGTCGGAAGTAGCAAAGAACCTGGCAAATTACACACTTGATAATCACTTTCTAATGAATTAGAATGATAGCCCACACCATAAACTTATTGTGAAGATCAAATAAAACTTCTATCTGTAAAGATAAAGCACTGCTGATTACTTGTGCTGGACACTTCTTTATTGTGTGTGCATGGGGGATGAGGTTTTCTGTGCATTATGGGAAGTTTACCAGCATTCCTTGCACCTACACCCTGGTGTTAGCATTTTCCTCCCCATAGGTTGTGACAACCAGAAATATCTCCAGACACTGTCAGATGTCCCTTGAGGGGTACAATTGTTCTTCACATTGAGAGTCACCACGGTAACATAATGTCTGGCACTTGAGCTTTTATTGTTAGAAGGAAAGTGGGAGTGGGCGAAGGGGTCAAATAATCTACAATTTCAGTGTATCTCCTGGGATTTAGGATATCGCTGGTAGCCTCGGCAAGAGGCTAGGAGTGGATGGGGTGAGAGAGTGGAGAAGACAAGGGCTAGGTAGCTGCTGATTTACTCTTTTAACATTTGTTACATATAATGCTATAAAAAACTTTTAATGAGCCTTTGAATTTCTTGAAAGGTATTGATTTTTCTTGGTCTTTGTATTTTATTCTTGCACCTCTTTGAGTGAGTGAATAATTTGTTTTTTAAAAGTGAGGAACAGGCCCTCCCTGGTGGTGCAAGTTAAAGTGCAACACTATGAAGCTAGCTGCGGCTACTTCAGCATGAGTACCATCCCCCGGCAGGGAGCTGACCCACATGGTGCAGCAGACTTCTCCTGTCTCACCCACTGCTCCCTCAGCAGTGTACTTCATCGATCTGTGTGTTCTGCTCCCCACTCTGTCTCTGGTGAACCCTCTCATCTCCCCACCAACATCTGACCTATACTCCAGTTCTGCATATATTAATAAATAAATCTTCAAAAAAAAAACAAAACTGTGGAACAAAGAGTGATCAGAACCATCAACTATGACATATGTCCTGCTTGCGAATAATTAGTCTTCAGTATTGAGCTATAACCTGGAATGTTTGTGGGTGCCTGGTTCCATACTAAGCTCCAATTGAGTATATTAGGAAGATGCCAATTATAATTTAGAGGATTTTAATTGTTCCCTTTCCTTAGGGATATTGAATTAAGCAAAGAACAAATACATCAAAAAAAATACCATGAAATCTCATCATCTTCTTAAGTCAATAGTCACTGCTACTGCATTCTAGGCACTAGTATTTTATATGTTATCTCATTTTAACATTTATAAACTGCTTTCTGCAGGGTGATAATGTTGACCTTTTTTTGTAGGTTAAAATACTTAGATCAGGCCCTCCCTGGTGTTGCAGTGGGTTAAAGCACAGCACTAAGAAGCTAAAGCCTCTTCAGTATGAGTTCCATCCCTGCCCATCCCTGCCCCGGAGGTGACCACATGGTGCAACAGACCTCTCCTGACCCTCCCGCTGCTCCCCTCAGCAGTGCCCTTTGTCAGTCATCCTGTTCTGCTCCCCACTCTGTCACTGGTGAATCCTCTCACTATCCCTGCACCTCTGGCCTGAACCCCAGCTCTTTATGCATAAATAAATAACTCTTAAAAAAAAAACTTAGATCAAACTATAGTATTTTCTCAAGGTTACGCAATGTGATTATAGTGAGCCCAGCTTTGATCCTGGGTCCTGTAAGATATCAAACTCATGACTTATTTAGTGGGTCTATGCTGAACCTGGAGATTGATGTGGGAGCCATTTGCTGGTATATATGGTTATTTGCAAACCCAGAAAAATAACCAGACAGCATGATTCATGACCAAATCTTTGCTTGCATTTTACATTCCTAGTGTTTGTTATCTTTTACCTTTAGCCTCTAGAACTTTTCTGATTCTCTCACCAATCCAGACTTGCTATAACACCTAAATAAATACTAGTTACAACTAATTTAATAAAAACCATCATACTTGAATCCCACAACAACCTGATGAAATGTTCATTTTATTTTTATTTTTGTAGATGAAGAAAGTAAGTAACATAAAGTTAACTATCTTGCTGTGGTCAGAAACAAGTAAATGATCTTGAC